ATACAAATCTCATGACATTAAACTACTCACCACTGATCCATATACAGTGAGGTAGAATGCACTTTTCCNTATAAATACCATATAAATATTTTTCTTCTTCTCTCTGTACTTTTTTATGAGTGTCCTCAATAAATTTATAGTCTCCATAGTTGAACTACCAGGCATAAACCCAAACTGATTTTTCGACACTGTAGTCTCAACTCTTAGGCGTCGTTCAATGAACCTTTACTATAATTTCATTATATGACTCATCAAATTTATCCCTCTATAATTATTACAATGTTGAATATCTCCTTTATTTTTATAAATAGGAACTAAAATACTCTTTTTTCATTCATCGGGCATTTCCTAGCAGCAATAATTCTATTGAATAATTTCGTTAACCACAACAACACCCCCTCATTCCCTAAGCAATTCCAAAACTCAATTGGAATCTCATCCGGTCCTACAACCTTACCTAATTTCATTTTTTTCAGTGCAAACTCTACCTCCTAACTCTTTATTCTACGAAAGAAAGTTTCATGTATCCTACCATTTTCTATCTTCTCTAGATTTCCTAAGTGATTTTCATTTAATAGTTTCTCAAAATAGTCTTTCCACCGATCATTTATTTTCTTATTTTTTAACCAAAACTTTTGAGTCCTCACTCTAGATATACTTAACTTGGTTAAAGTCTCTTGTTTTTCTTGCTCTAATTTTAGCTAGTTTGTAGATGTCGCTTTCTCCCTCTTTACTATCTTATTTTTTGTACAACTCGTCATAGACTTTTAACTTAGCGTCTCTAACTATATTTTTAACCTCCTTTTCACCTAATTTATATCTTTGAAAGTTCTCTCTATTTCTATCAATTTGTCATCCCTTAAAGAATTCTTTCTTTACTTTAATTACATCTGGTACGTCGTCATTCCACCACCAAGTTTCTTTTCCCACAAGCCCTCTACCATTTGATTCCCCAAGAACCTCTCTCGAAATTTTCATAATGTCTTTCATCATCCTATTCCATATAACGTTAGTCTCATCCTCTAGGTTCTATAAGGCCTCTTTAAGCATTCTACTCAAATAATACTAGTTTCTCATCTTTTAGATTCCACCATCCCGTTCTTGTTTTCCTAATATTTCTCCTTATCATATGTTGTCCTTTAATATATAAATCTAGAATTGTTAGCCTATGTTGAGATGTTAAGCTTTCTTCCGAGACAACCTTACAATCTTTACATGCTAATCAATCCATTCTTTTACTTAAGTAGTCTACTTGGCTTTTGTTTGGTCCGCTCTTAAAGGTTATTAGATACTCTTCTTGTTTTCTAAACAAGGTGTTTGCCACTACAAGATTATATGTCATTGCAAATTCTAAAATACTCTCTCTGGCTTCATTTCAAACACCATGTCCAAAACCACCATGACTACTTTCATATTGTGTCCTATCTTTTCCTACATGTCTATTGAAATCTCCACCTATGATTATCTTTTCTCCTGTAGGTATATATTCAACTAATTCATCTATTTGCTCCCAAAATTACTTTTTAGTATGTTCTTCTAACTCTACTTGAGGTGCATAAGTACTAATCACATTAATTATATTCTCTCCGACTACAAGTTTGATAATCTTATCCCCTTTCCTTGTAACTGCTACTACGCTATCTTTTAGGTCTTTATCTATAACTATTCCTACTCCATTTCTTCGTCTATCATTTCTAGTATTGTAAATCTTGAATCCTGTATTTTCAATCTTACTGGTCTTCTCACTTAACCACTTAGTTTCTTGAAAGTATGATATACTAATTTTTCTCTAGCTCATAGTATCTACTAATTCTATTGTTTTGCTAGTGAGAATACCTATGTTCCATGTTACTAATCTAAGTCTTATCATCGCGGACTAGCTTCCTTACCCTCCCCATCCATCCATGGCGCGGAGACCCTTGCCATTTATCACCGCACCCGGGTGCCAATGTAGTGCTCCTAACTTATTTGTCGGAACACCCCCATGTAAGCTCAACGCTCCTAATTAATTTTTTGAAATGCCCCGAGGCAAGCGCAAAGCGTCACTTATGGGAAACAACCTAGCATTAGCACATATATCATTATTTGAACTCATCATAGTGGATCCGACAAAATTTTACACTAGTTGTCGCTACCTAACGCAACCCTCCTCCTTTATCCTAGCTTAGGACAGGCAGTGTTGAATACAACACAGGTGGAGTTGCAAAGAGAGAGAGACCACTGGAGAAAATTCGAAGAATTGCAACCCGCACTGCACTCGAATTTTGGCATGGAAGGACATACGATAAGAGATCATGAGGTCTATCGAACCGACTGTTCAATCTACATCTATTTTCGTTCGTGTTGTTTTACTCGTCAAAAGGAAACCCTAATTCCAATTCCACTTTGTAGGGTTAACAGATGAATAAATTTTTTGTATTCGATTATACACATCAACGAACCTTGGGAAGTCGTTCCAACACCTACCCCCTCCCCCCAAATGAAATTTGCAAGCAAATTTTGATCAAAATAGCAAAGTGAACATTTAAAATCCGATAGCCTGCACATGGGTTGGCCTCTCTCTCTCTTGCCCTCTCTTTGTGCAATAAAGTATTTCCTTGGGAAGCACCCCATTGACCCTTCAGTCTACCCCTTTTAAACCCCCCTCTCTCTCTCTCTTAGAATGTTCTCCCCAACCCATCTGTTTCTTTTTCTCGCATGCCGCAATCCACCAAAGCCACCACTCCTACCAATCCTCAACTCAAGCCCTAGATCAAATTGCCACCACAAGTGTAATTATTCATCATCAGAGGACATCACGAGTTTCATATGTATATGTATATTTGATTTTTAATTTTTATTGAGATTTAGAATTTTTTGAGGCTAGGGTTCATGTCTAGATTCTTTTTTCTAAAAAATGTGTGAAATTTCTAGTTTGGAGAAATTTTTTCTCAAATTAGCTTATTAGGAATTTGAGATTTTTGGGTTTGAGATTTTTGGGTTTGAGATTTATTTTCGAAGCTAGATTTTAGCTCAACTCGAGCCTAAACACCACTTCGACATTTCGAGTCAAGCCTAAGCATACCTAAGTTCGAGAGGCTCGGCTCAATTATTACCCGTAATTCCAACTCTTGGGATTTCTAGTTCTTTAGATGCCTAAATACTGAGAAGCACTGAATCTAGCTTCTTTGTCGATAGTCTTCAGACTTTCCATCCTCCTCCAGGCTGTAAAATTTAGACTGTGGATAAATTTGTTACCTTTTTCTTTTAAATATTTTTACTCCCATCTCGTAAGCTCCAAGAATGTTCACACTTTTCCATCAAACAATTTCATTTGGAAAGCAAAAAATTCCTTGAATGTCAAAGTTTTTGTTTGATCTATTGTTCTTAACCGGATGAGTACTAATAATTTGTTGCAAGTGAGAAAGCCTAACAAAACTTTAAGTCCTAATATTTTCTTAACTTGAGGAATGGAAAGTCAAATCCTCATTTATTCATTCTCGTTTTGCTTCAAATTTCCCACTGCTAGCCCACCCTTAGCTTTAGTTCTTGAAACCACCTCCCATTTCACCAAATGAACCTTATTTTTTTTTTTCCTTTGACCGCTTACTTCCCACAAAAAATCTCTATCATTTTCCCAATTTTCATTGCAATCTTCCCTGACATCTTAAAAGAGAAATAGAAAATAAGTAGGTACACTAGCCAAAACGGATTGAACCAAAGGTAACCTACCTCCCGTAGAAATATAAGCTCTCTTTCACCAATGATATCTTTTCGCCACTTTTTCCACAAGAAGGTCGCAAAATGCCAAATATAATGGATTCTCTCCAAAGGAAGACCTAAATATTTTAATAACCATTCACCCACTCCACATTTCATCATCCCTACCAATCTATACATTTTATCCTAAGAAGAATTAACACCAACTATCAAACTTTTCTCCATATTGACCTTTAACCCAGGCACCCACCACTCAACTATCTTTTTAAAATTAATGAATTGCTCCTCATGACCCCCTAATGAAAAAATAGTATCATTAGCAAATTACAAATGTAACACAGATATTTCATCTCTCCCAATTACAAAGCCTTCTGCAAGAATATGGTTACATCAATATTTGTTGGAACACCTAGGAGCGTGCCTAGGCCCAAGGCACATCTAGGCCCACAATCAACGCTTCAAAAGATCCTAGGCAAAGCGCAAAAAGCACGGATTGGGTTTGGATGACTTCTACAATGTGCTAAGGATTAAAAAATTATTTCGAAACGATCGAAACATCTAAAACGTTTCTATTTTCAAAGAAATCGAAACGAATCAGTCATAGAATTGAAATTCTAATATTTCGACATGTTCAAAATTTTTAGTTATATTTTAATGTATTTGCACAATTATTTCGGAATTTTTCAAGATATTTTGATATATTTTGACTAATATTTTAAAAAAATATTACTTAAATTTTTTATTTTTTTCATTCTGTTTTCAAAATGGGTCTAAACGTTACCAAAACACGTCTAAACGTTTCTGTTTCTTAGGTGACCGAAACAAAATTTTGATCCTTGGTGCTACCACACTTGATTTTAGCTCTAGACATCAAAGTTATCAAATAGAAATTCATATCGAGAATCAAAATCCTAGATTTATCAAATCAAGAATTGTAAGAATCGACACAAAATTCGAACAAAGATAAAAAAATATATGTATATATTTAAAATTGGCAAGATATTAAATTTGAAAATTATTGTATTTTAAAAATCAACAATTGAGTAAATTCACGATACAATAATAGGAAGTTACAGTTGAGTTTGTACCTCTTTTACTTCTTTCTTAATGCATAATAAATTGTTCCATCAAAATTGCCAAGATAAAATAGTTGTCTTCGTGATACCAATGAAGTTAACTAAAATAAAAAAAATAAAAAAAAACAATCATACTGATTCAAACATATAAACTTAGAAAATCACTTACCACATTTGATTAAAAAAAAAATTTGATGAAAAGCAAAAAAACTGAGCATGTATAAGCTATTGTGACTGAGCTTTGATCGGGACCTAACATCATCACATTTTTATACGTATTCTAGAGATTTATTGCAAAAAAAAATAAAGATGGTAAAATGGTAGGGCTTACAGGATTGTGCATCTCTTCACTCAGCCCAAATTTGACAAGAACTGAATCCACCAGCATTGAAAAGTAATGTACTAGAAAAGATCCTGCTCCAAGCTGAGGGAAAATTGTTCAAAACCATAAGTTGCTAATTGGAAACAAAAATACAAATCTCATGACATTAAACTACTCACCACTGATCCATATACAGTGAGGTAGAATGCACTTTTCCTGCCAGTTGGTAATAGTTTCATTCCCTATATAATGATGCAAAAAAAAAAAAAAAGGCCTAATGAGAAACAAAGCACTAATTGCAATTGACTGAGAGGAAACCCAAGCTTCAATACTTCATTAAGCAGTCAGACTTCATTTGGATATCAATGCATATATTCACTTAAAGAAGATATCAATGCATCCAAAGTACAATTGTAAATTGGGGTTTTCTTGTCCATTTTGGAGCTCCCGCTGTGGAGGCTAATATGATGAAACAAGCATGTACATGACCAGTTAGAGCAGTGATATTTAAAGCGTGAAGCAAACCGAAGCAAACAAGTATCATGAGGCCTAAGCAAGAAACGAGAGGCGAAGCAAGCACTTCATCTAAGCGAAGCGAACAATAAATAAAAAAAAGCAAATATTTTATATCTAAACCATCACAGATGAAACATCTGGTCATTAGTACACAACAATCACAAATGAAATCCTTAGCCACGCCATCATCTTCTACCTTGCGACTAGTGTATGCGGATTTCATGCTACCATACAATCTCTAGAACCTCAAACGATCACTGGGATTAATTCCAAGTCTGGAGAGTACCCTAATTTTGAGCAAATACCTCTTTTCTTGAAAATCAACGTTGAATAATTTGGAACAATACCCTTTTCACAACTCTTCATCATAATCTTGGCTTGAAACAAATTCTGTTGACCTAGAGTACTGCAAACCACCTTTACAAATCCTTCAAAACAATCTCCAATTTTCTTAAATACTTCCTCTTTCCACAAGTGGAAGGGTAAACCTTCGATTCCAATCCATCCACCCAAAAAACAGACATCCTATCCCTCCCGAAGTTTGAGTCAGGAGTCCATTTAGATACCGTCACCTTACCAACCGCCTCCATCATAGGCACATCCTTGCTGCACACAAACTGAGTATGATTTCATTGTTAAAAAAAAAATACTGTTTTATCAACCTGGAAAGGACTCAAAACAACATGAAATTCTAGCAATTTTGTCAAAGCAAAGTTGAATCCACCTCCAAGGAATGACCAGACTCTCTCTGCCACACACCACAGCTATTTGCAATTTGCCTAACACATCAGATTCCTCAGCGCTCTTGTTTTGATTAAGAGTCCCAATATTCTATAACCACAACAAACCATCGCTGGATATATTCTTCCTCTGCACACCTCCATCATCAACCAGAGGCAAACTTTCAAAGCTAGCCTTACTTCCACCATTCAAAATACCATGCATCAAAATTGAGAAATGCCTCCAACCAATACAATCAACCCCTGGAGATACAACTATGTAATTTCTCTTGCCAGAAGAAAAAACCTTATATTCAGGAACTTCCCATACCTATTGGAATTTACTTCAGCCTGTAACTAGTAATAGTCAATTTTCCCCTTTTGAAAAAACAAAGAAAACCCATTCCAATTTCTCGCATCCACTACCACACTGTGAAACCAAGAAGCACCCACCCAATCCCACAATAAGAGCAAAGCTAGCAAAACTAGTTCTTTCAATAATTTTTATATCACCACTAAAAATTGTTCAACAACTTCAACCAAGAAAACCTTCTGATCTATCTTCACTTCATTCCTAAATGGAGGCAGTAAATCATGTTGATTCCTTGAAGACCAATAAGTTGAGAAACAGATATTTTTCATTCCCCAATCAATCATAACCCATGTCTAAAGGCCGCATTTTGATCCACACTTCTTGCTATTTGATAGCCTACACCAATTACTTCGGACAAGGATTTGTGGGGTTGAGTTATAGAATGATAAAAATAAAGAGGGATTTTTAGTGAAATTGATTTCCTTTACATGTCTATTATGATATAAAGTTACAATGAACAGAATTTCATATTAAGAAACTACTTTTTCCCACTTTTTTGCCATTTGATTCTACAGCAAGGGGAAAAAGAGAATATTTAAGCACTCTTAGTGTTTTCTCTTTTTTGTTCCCCTTGGTACTACTACAACATCAAAAATACTTTTTGAAGTTTCAAGATTCTTGATAGTTTTTCAAAGAATTGCAAATGCAACAGTAAACACCATTTGCACTTATAAAATTAGTAAGTTTGAAGAATTAACAAAAATTTTACAACACGTGAATTTTAAAAGTGTCATAAGTCATAACGCAGAGGAGAAGTCATATAGGAAAAAAGGGACGCATCATTTCAAATTAAAAAGATCAAGGAAATCAGAAAGACTATAGGACAAAAAGTAGACTATTAACTGCTATACCTGAAAAAGGAGTATTATGATGACAAGCACAACTCCAATAGCCATTGAACTGCTGTAGTAAAAGGGAACCCAACTGCTAACAATTGGTGCTAACAGCAGTAAAACAAAACCCGTAGCCAGACAAAGTAGACGCCATCGCTGAAACTCTGCACAAACCAAAAAACACAAAGACAAATGTCAAAAGAAGACAAAAAAGAAAAAAAAAATGCAAATGAATGCCTAACCTTCCTCAACAGTGACTGTGACAGAACCAGAAAATTCACCAACAAATTTCACATCAACATATCTGTTCTCGTAAGGTGACATGACAGAGCTCCATAACCCCTTCTGGAGAGATTTCCAATCCCCATCCTCACATTTGCACAAACCAAGTGATGCATTCCTACAAACAAAAAAATAGTGAGATATAATTCTCCAAATATACAAAACACCCATCACTAAATGTTTAACACACAACAAACAAAGACAGAAAAAGAATAGCTGAAAACAAGGAAATTCACTCACTGGTGAAAGCAAATTTGAATTTTGCTATGTAATCTCTCAGGGATTTTGACCGATGGGGCCAGAGTGACACGATATGCACTCGCATAACTCCCAAGTTTCAATCTTGATATACCCACAACTCCAACACGTTCAAACAATACAACATCTTTAGAACCTCGGGCAGATGATGTATATCCAGCAATGGGGGTTGGCGTGACATCCACAACTGGATTTTCTACATCAACAGCTGCAGTTTCAAAATACTAAGAGAACTAAGTCTGAAAAACAGTCAAAGTAAATCCATTGAAATAAAATAGCAACATAAAAATGGAAAACTAGTGTGACTCTTCAAAATTGCATAAAAAGCAAACAAAAACTAGTACAATATACCAAATTGAATATTTAACCCACTAGATTTCTAGTCATAAACATCCAATCAGACACTTCCATGGCATAGAATCTAACATGTAACTCCAACAAAACAAGCTCAACCACCCGTTAATGCACCGAGGCTGCATTGAGAAGCACGAGATCCATTTGAATTCCACATTAGCTCAACTTTTATGATGGTTTTGCAAAAATTTCAACTCCAATGCATGGACCACGTGCTCCCAAACGTAGAATAAAATTCAATGAACACCAAAACCATCACAATTTTCTCCCTTTCTTGATGATTATTGCAAAGATGGATACTTTACAATAAAACTTGTGCATAAGTTATTATTTCTACGGTGTTAGTCGTTCTTGTTCTGCTCAAACAGAATAACCCTAGGAAAGACGAGATTCGAAAATCCCAATTCATCGATCATTTGAAACTACGCCTCCCCTCCCCTCCCCTCCCCTCACACAAAGAAAAAGAAACTCTTTCCTAACATCGTTTTCTTCAATTTTCTCGGAGACCAAACGGGGGTGTTAACGAACGAGAGCCTCAGTATGGGAAGTTTACCTTTGACTGAATCCACGTGGCCGTCGCTTGAACAGTTGGGAAGCAAAAGTGAAAGAGAGAAGAAAAGGAGAAGAGCCGATGACAACCCCATCGCCCTATCTCTGTCTCTCTCCTTCCTATTAGAGCACGCGCGCTTCGACTCTTTGGAAATTTTTGGTGCGTTCGAGATAGTTATTTAAAATATATTAAAATATTATATTTTTTATTTTAAAGAATTATTTTTACAAAATTATTCTATCTATGTTCTCTTTATTAGTTAATTACTATTAATATTTTAAGTTAAAATANACTCTTTGGAAATTTTTGGTGCGTTCGAGATAGTTATTTAAAATATATTAAAATATATTAAAATATTATATTTTTTATTTTAAAGAATTATTTTTACAAAATTATTCTATCTATATGTTCTCTTTATTAGTTAATTACTATTAATATTTTAAGTTAAAAAATTGCATAATTTGACACATCCTCAAAATACAAAATAACTATCATCTTGAAGTGCAAAAAGAGTTATTTGGCTCTCCAAATATAAGAGCAACTCCAACGGGATAGCTAAACTCGGTTTGTTAGTTATTTTAAATAGACAGTCCATATATTTTGGCTCAAACCGGATGTCTATCACACTCGGTATTATCCATTTTCCTAAATTAACTCGCTGGATATAGCGAGAGAAGAAAGCTAGTTATTTCGGTATTCATCAGCATCGCCTTCATCACAGCTTCACACAAATCGTCTTCATCACAGATTCGAGCATTTGGGTATTCTCACAAATTGTCTTGATCACAACTTGGATCACAAGTTTGGTATGCTCTCTCTTTCTCACTCACTTACATAAACTCCATTGAGTTTGATCATAAAAAATCAATCAAAATGATCAAAAAATCAAATTTGGGGTTTCCGAGAGGTGGGTTCTGTGACATGTTCGACTTGAACCGATTGTGGCGTGTTTGACTTCAACAGAGGTAGGTTCTCTCTTCACGTCGACTCCGAAGACTTCACATTTTGAATCGGCTCTCTCTATCTTTCTAGATCTCACCATTTGAAGACTCTCACACTTCAACGAAGGTGGGTTCTCTCTTTTGTTCGATTGAGGTAATTTTCACCGTCATCCACTAGTTTTGTAAGGTTTTTCAATGTGGGTTTTAATTTTGGAAATGGGTTTTGGAGATCGATAGAGTTTGTGGTGATGAGTATGTTGTTTTGATCATGTTGGTCTCATTTGGCCTATAGTTTTTGATGTTTCTAACTGGAACTATCTTGTGATTCTTGAGTTGGGTATTCAATTCCAATGGACGATTTTTGGTTTTGGGTTGATTGTAAAGTGTTTTTTAGATGAGTTTTTGATCATTTGAAGTGGGTTTGTGAGATGAATTTTGTGTGTTAAACATTTTGGAGATGAATTTTGAATTTTAATTTTGGAGAAACCAAGCTTTCACTTATATGGTTGCTGCATCTTGGAATTGCTTAATTTTAGGTTTGAGTTTCTTTGTTGAATTATGTAGCAAATAGTATTCCATTGACGAAGTAATAGACTGGAGGAGTGCCACCTTCTGAAAAAAGAGTAAAAATAGAAGAGCTTTCTAACACATTTATATCATTGTGGGATCCAGGTAACCTAAAAAAGGAATGTCAAATCCATATATTATATGAAGTCACCGTCTCTAAAATAATTGTTGGTTCATGAAAGTGATCAGAGTACATACATTTTCAAGTTGTTGAACAATTCTTTCATCTCCAATGCATGTAATCAATGCTACCTAGCATCCCAAGAAACCCATGTCTCTCTCCAANTTGTTGAACAATTCTTTCATCTCCAATGCATGTAATCAATGCTACCTAGCATCCCAGGAAACTCATGTCTCTCTCCAATTGCTAATAATCTAGCAATGTTTGCGCTGTTTAGTGACCAAAGGTACTCATCAAAATAAATTGTTATTATGGCCGATACAAATTTTTACAGACTTTTTATTGTGGTGCTTTCGCCGATCCTCACATAATCATTAATAGCATCTGCTGCAACTCCATAGGCAAGCATTCTTATAGCGGCAGTCATCTTTTGAAGGGGAGACAAGTCAATATTCCCAACAGCATCCCTTTTTTTGACAAAGTATGGATCATAAGCTTCCACCATTGATAGAATACGAACAAAAAGATATCGATTCATTCAAAATCTCCTCCAAAATAAATTTGGGGGATAGGTAGGCGATTCAGCAAAATAATCGCGATAAAGTCTCTTATACCCTTTAACTCGATTGCAAAAAATAAAAAAAAAATGGCCTTAAATAGAACTACGACATATTGTGAAACTTTTTTCAGTATTGAGTTTCTCCATTGTCATAACAGCAACCGCTAACATCTCCATCTCATCATCGGAGTTAGAATCATTAAGAATCATCTTCAATTTACCATCACGAGCCATAACAAAGAAATATGAGTGCAATACCAATAAAATAAATTTGAGATACATGACAATGAGAAGGGGGAGGTCTTATTTATACATTTTCAAAAATATGATTGTTGAAAATATGGTCGTTGTAAATATGGCCGTTAAAAATATGACTGTTATAAATATGACCGTTGAAAAATTTAAAATTTAAAATTTAAAAATTTGATGACATGGCACGACACGTCATCATACTTCGTCATCACTATAGCGCTTACGCGTTATGCCACATAACATTTTTGAATTATATTATTGAAAGTTAGTTAAAATTAGTTGAAGTAGTTAGCTAAAATAAATAGCGTGGTTGGAATGAATTTTAAAAAGTAGTTAGCTAAAGTAGAGAATTCGATATTTAAATATATTTTGAGTAACTATTTTAGATAGTATGGTTGAAAATGCTCTAAAATAGCTAGTCAAATGTAGAGAGCTATTTAGCCCAAATGTAACATAGTTAGCCAAATAACTAATCCCTCGGTGTATAATTTTGTAGTTTGGCTCTTTATTTTAGCTAACACATGTCAAACAACTAGCCCCTTGGAGATGATGCTCTAAGATTAGTGTATGTGTCTCAATAAATGATTGTCCTACCCTATGTTCGCCTTTAGTCGCAACTCAGTTGATTGGTGAACATATCTGGTCTTTACTTTTTTTTCAAATTTAAATTTAAATTTAAATAAAAATAATTCAATTTTTTTTTATAATCTGATACTCAAATTCATACCAAATCAACAAAAACTTAATTTTTTATTCAAATTGTGAAAAATTCAAGCTTTTACTCAAATCATCAACCATCAGATTTAATTCTTTTTTAAAACTTCAGTGGATGTATTTCACTCTCTTTTAAATTTAAATTTATCCTCTTTAAATTTGTGTTGGCCCATTAGAGTCATTTCTACCAAACTAATTTTTTTACTCAAAATTAAATAAAAAATTGAGTCAAGATTAAAAATTGAGCCAATATCTAAACCTACCATAAGCCATGGTCTTGATTTTCGGTCTTCCTTGACAAGTGTGTCAACCTGACCAGTAAATATTGTAACAAAATTTTTAATTTTTAGGTTGGTTAGTAACATTTTAAAAATTNGAGCCAATATCTAAACCTACCATAAGCCATGGTCTTGATTTTCGGTCTTCCTTGACTAGTGTGTCAACCTGACCAGTAAATATTGTAACAAAATTTTTAATTTTTAGGTTGGTTAGTAACATTTTAAAAAATTTATTGTTTTATGAGTTACTTACAAAAAGAGCAACTCACACTTGCACCTCTTGAACTATGTCTATTTCAAATTGTCTACTAAACTTTTATTTTCTTACGTTGCACCTTAAACTATTGGTTAGAGTTTCATATGACCTAAATTACTTACTTTTGTCCAATTTTTCAAGGCAAATAATGGCAAAAATAGAATTCCACCCGCCAAAGAAGGGAAAGACCATATATCTCTTTAATTATATAATATCAATTTTACTTTGATTTGCTATGAAAAGTGGGACAAATGTTAACGATTGAGGCAATGTAAAACATAAAACAATAGTTGAAGGTTCAATGCCTAAAAACGTATAGTAAATAACACAAGTAACCCTCAAACTCTCTCTCCTCTTTACTTCTCTCTAGACAATTATTTCTCAAATATTTTAAGTTTCCTTTTTTCACAGAGTTTAATCAATCACAATTTAAAACCTAATTCTACCTCAACTATCTCTTCTCACAAGAATTTAACAATTAATGGTAAGAACCCATTTTAATTACCATGAAGATTGATATTGTTAATTTGTCAATTAAAACACTCTATCTCCCGTGGGGGATCCCAAACCCTTTGAACGCAACTATGGATGATGAAGATATTCAATTAAACTACAATCAAACACATAGCATGCATATGTGCGTCAAATCACAGGTGTGTATGAAAATACAATAAATAACACAAGTAATTTATTGACGCAGAAACCCTGCTCGGCAAAAATTGTAGGGAATTTGTTAGTTTACCAAAACCTGCTTGACCAATGCCCCCAACAACATTTTGCACCTTGATGAACAGTTGTTCCACCCCTACCTTGATCAATTTGAGGTGGTAGATCTTGATGACATTGTGGTCTATAGTGGGATGCTTGAAGAGCACTTGGAGCACTATAGAGCTATCTTCCATATATTACGTGACAACCAGCTTTTTGTTAAGATGGGAAAATGATCTTTGGTTCAACAAGAAGTCTTGTTCCTTGGACATCAGATCAAGGGAGGGACCATTTTCATGGAAAATGAGAAGGGGAAGGCCATAGAGGACTTAAAGGGAGCCATCATGGCTAATCCGGTGTTGGCCTTTTTGAATCATGGTAAGTCATTCGAGGTACATACTGATGCTTTAGACATGCCATTGGTGCAGTTATTATGTAAAAGGGTCACCTTATCACCCATGAGAGCCGTAAACTCAATGACACCGAGTAGAAATACACAGTATAAGCATATGTGGCTATGGAAAAACGATCATATCATGCCATAAAAAACTTTGATACATATGGAGAGATCGCCTAGATATACAGATAGACTAGATGTTCATGGATAGATAGACATTTCATTGATTCTTAGTTTTTTGGGGGCTGAAAATATTCGTCGATCCAAATGAATCATTCTTCTAGTCTCTCTTCACTCCCCG